CCCCCCCGCCCCCAAGTCTATCTTCCTGGAGAGGATCTCATTCTTCTGCCCCTACTGGAGGGTTCTTGTCTGCTAGGAGCATTGAAAGATAGGCTTAAGGTTCCAGTGACAGACTAGAGTTGAAGAAGGTACAAGATTTCAGAAACTTTGGTTTCTTTGCCCTCCTCCTCCTCCTCCTTTGCTGGGGAATGAGCCCAGGGCCTCATGCATGCTGGGCTAGTCTCTACCACTAAGCTAAGCTACATTCCTAGCTCTGGACTTCTGGTATTTTTTTTTTTTTTTTTTTAGTCTCTACCACTAAGCTAAGCTACATTCCTAGCTCTGGACTTCTGGTATTTTTTTTTTTTTTTTTTTGAGACAAGGTCTCCCTATGTAGTTCAGGCTGGCCTTGAACTCACTGTGGAGCCCAGGCTGACCTCGAACTTGCAGGAATCCTCCTACCTCAGCCTCCCATGTGCTGGGAGGCATTCACCACCACACCTGGTCCTTCTGATAATATTCACCCTGGGAATATTAGAGGCTGAGGGCTCTTTTGTGCTTTCTCCCTCTCTGTCCCAGAGACTGAACCTAGGTCCTCAAGCATGCTAAGCACCTGCTCTACAACTGAATGAAACCCCACCTCCTTTTCACTGGCTCTGTGCTCCTGGTATCATGACATCTGCTTCGGTGTGGGGAAGGGGGTGGTATCTCCCAGGGCTAGAACCTTGGGTTCTGTCTTGCTTCTCCTGGATGACATCACTAAGACTTCTGCTCTCTAATGTTTAAATGGTTCTCTGCAGTTCACTATCTCATTTATAGCCACTTCCTGATTTAGAGAAACTGCTACCCGCATTTTATAGATGAGAAAACTGTGGCCCAGAGATGGAAAGACACAGCCCCTATAGCATTGGGACCTTTGAGCAAGATATATAAATTCAGCTATGCAGCTGGGTTTGACAATTTACATGCAAACAAGACAGCCCTGAAATTTACTGGCTGAACCTCCCTGCTGCAGACATTAACCCAGTTGCCCCTTGCCTACTTTATTTTTAAATTTTTTACTTTTTTGTATTGTTCGGGCTCCAACTCAGGGCTTCATGCTTGCTTGCAAGCATTTTACACCAAGCCACACCCCTTACCCCTTTGCCCGCTTTGTAGATGCTATTGTGTGCTGAGTTTAGATTTGTTTAACATTTTATGCTCTCAAGTTCATGCTTGCTATCTTGGGGACTCCTCATCACTTCTGTGGAATGGGTAGGGGAGGTGTCACCCCATCTTGAAACAAATTGAGTCCTGCAGAGCTGGCCAAAGTAGGCACAGACCACCACTGCAAAGGGACAAAGGACTTGTTGAGGTGGAACATGAAGCCCTTGTAGGACACAAGTTGGACCTGCCATCATGGCAGAGTCTCGACCCAGATAAAGACTGCTCTGCCTCATGCCAGCAATTTTGTTAATTAACTGCTTCTGTTTCCCATTAGCCAGGAGCATAATGGACAATTGACAGATGGATGGGTCCAACAGAAGGGGATTCCAAACAAAGGGTTTGCCCTCTCCTGTGCACTCACTCTGCTGGCTGGCCAGGCATGGCTGGGGTCAGGGAGAGGAATGAATCAGGCCTGGAGCCCCCCCTTTAGCACCTCCCAGTACAGGCCAAAATGTGATGTGGTGCCTCTTATGTCATATATTCTTTCTTTTTTTCTTTTGGTACCGGGGATCGAACTCAGGACCTTGCACTTGTGAGACAGGCAGAGGAACAACTGAGCTAAATCCCCAGCAGGTGCCTTTTATGATAACTGCTGACCCAGGTGTCAGGCAGTACCCCAAGCACTATGTATTTCTCTGGTTTAATCAGAGTGTGAGGAAGGGGCCTATGACACAGTGACCAGCATTAATATTCCCACATTTAGATATAATAATGAGGCCCACAGTTCATACTGTGTGTAAAATTAGGTAACTCAGGAAAATACTGGAATTTGTTCACTCTGAGTTAGACAATAGCTTCTGAATATTATTTTCCATAAACTCTCTCTCAAACATTTTGTTATATTATATAACAAGTTTTTGAGGTACAGGGGATTAAACCCAGGCCCTCCACACTGAGCTAAATCCTCAGCCCCCTTTCTTTTTAAATTATTTTTTTGGTACTGGGGATCGAACTCAGGACCTTGCGCTTACAGGGCAGGTGGTGGAACCACTGAGCTAAATCCCCAGCCCTTCTTTTTATTTTTGACATAAGCTCTCACTAAGTTGCCCAGACTTGGCTAACATTTTTTTCTTAAAAGTTGTTTCTTGGATTGAAATGAATTGATGACATTCATGAAGAACAGAGAAAACATTGTACATGTTCTGAAGAAAAGAGTCTTTATACCCAGGTGTGGCGGCACACGCCTATATTCCCAGCACTCAGGAGGCTGAGGCAGGAGGATCGCTGTGAGTTCATGGCCAGCCTAAACTGCATAGCAAGACCCTGTCTCAAAAAAAAAAAAAGAGTCTTTTTTTATCTCAGGGAGAAGGAGACCAGCAACATGATTTTTAGAGGTGACTTTGAATGAGGGGTGTGTTTGAACTTGTTTGGAAGGGGCTGGGATATTTTGGGCTGAGGGTCCGGGATGAGCAAAGGCTGGATGTGAACTATCCATGAGGCAGGGGAACAGCAATCAGGTCAGGCTGGCTGCTGTGTGCTTCGGGGTGTGGTGTGGGAGACTGGGCTGGGTCCCGAGAATGGGGAGCCTTGAATGACAGGAAAGGAACCTGCGTTTGATCTCATGGTTGCTGAGGAACCAGAGAGGGTTTCTGTGGCAAATGAGAACTCTCCACATCCAAATCATCTCCAGAATCAAAAGCTGTCTGTTCTCAGTGTGCCTAGAATCTTACTGTTTCCTTTCACCCCCCACCCCATTACAGCACCAGCTGCATCATTAGTGTCCCTGAGCTTTCACCCAAACGATCCATCTACAAAGGAAAAAGTCCCCAAAGACCTCCTGACCCCAGCCACCTTCTCTCACAAATCTCCCACTGCCCTGTCATTTCTGGGAGCATGTCTGAACATTGCAGCAGCAGGGTGTTCTGGGGTCCAGTGTGGAGGGTGGGCCAGAGAGGGGACGATCACGAGAGACTGACCCTCAGACCCGTCAGTTAGGCTAAGGAAGAAGGGTGACCCCTGGGGACAGAGTGCTTCTGGGGTGTTGTGAAGCCAGAACCTCCCACCTGGGATCCATACCTTGAATTTAGAGGCTTGGAGAAGAGGAACATCTGTCTCCCTCCCTCCACAGCTAAGAAGTGAGCTAAGAAACGAAGACCCAGTTAGATGCCAGGTGCACCCACAAAAAGGCACACAGCCAAACTGTCGCTAGGGTTCCCCTGCCTCTATCCCTCTGCTCTCCGCGGCAGGCCGGCCGGCCTTGGTTTCAGCACCACAAACAGCTCCCAGCTTTGTGCCTCCAGGCAGCCTCTAGCGCCTGCTGCAGTTCTTTCTTGCAGTATGGATTTTTGTTTGTTCGTTTTTGTTTTGGTTATTTTTTTGAGTGTGTGTGTGGGGGGAGGTACTGGGGATTGAACCCAGGGCTTTACATTGAGCTACATTCCCAGCCCTTTTATATTTTTATTTTTATTTTGAGATAGGGTCTTGCTAAGTTGCTAAATTGCCCAGGCTGGGTTCTAACTTGTGATTCTCCTGCTTCCGCCTCCCAGATTTCCGGGACTACGGGCATAAGTCACCATGCTCAGATGCTTGGAGCACTGTTTTGATGCCATAACTAAAAGATGTCTTCTGATTCAACCCCCTTACTGCATAAATAGGGAAACTGAGGCTTTGCTGAAAACTGGGCAAGTCACACTATTCTAGGATCCAAGGATACAAGTAAACAAAACTGATAAAGATCCCTGTGCAACTGACAGTCTAGAGGGATCCCAGGGCCGTGCTAAGCTTACAGAACGTCTTGTGCTTCTTCTTGTAAGGGGTTGTCAGTGAGTCCTGGGTTCAGGTTACAGGTTTGTGTTTCCACCTGGAGAGCAGGAAACCACCTCCTCCTCTCCTCTGTCTCACCTCGGTGCACCAGCTCGGGGTTAGGTGTGCATCAGGCCACACCTGAGACTTCTTCTAGGTTGGGGACAGCAGCCTCTCTGTGGCATATTTCCCAATGGGTTCTGGCTCTTAGATGTGTCTTTCACTCATTTGTTCATTCATCCAAGTAAAGAGGAGATTGGAAAAAAAAAAAAGAGATCGGGACTAATGGGAGAGACTGGGAGTCACATGTTAACAAGGCAGCGTTCCAGCTGGGAGTGGATGCGACCCCCAGGGTGAAGAGAGAAGGCAAGCCTGGGGCAGAGGCCTGGGGACATGTGGGACTTTGCAGAAAGCCAATGGAAGAACTGCATGTTGGAAGCCTGGAGGGAAAGTGGGCTTCCAGAGGGGAAGGACAAGGGGTCCAGAAGCTGGACAGAGGCCAGGGCCTGCAGAGAAGCCATGGGTCATGGTATGGAGAGTTCAGGAGGCTGTGGCCTGAGAGTTCTCAGCTGTGGAGGAGAAACCAGCTCTCCATGGCTCATGGAAGCAGACAATGAGTGCCACAAACCTTTGTAGAAATAGAAGGAAAGTGTGGCTTGGTAGCTGGAAGTGGAGACAGAGCTGAGAGAGACAGAGAGATGCTTTCTTCAGCATAGGTACCGGGAGAGGGAAGAAATGTGGGCTTGAGTTATGGGGGGTCTATCACTGCAGACCCCTGGAAGATGGAAAAGGTAGAACCCAGGGGGGCTGTTGTCCTCACTCACACTGGATGGGAGAGTGAAGGGTGGGCAGTTTTCCGGGCTGTTTGAGTGAGCAGATCAGAAAGCCAGACGTCCTTGGCCTGGCTTGGTGGTGGTGGTGGGGGTCTGGTGGCCAGCAGGATGGAGAAGGGAGGAGAAGGGCAGGCTCTGCCTTCTGGGGGAGCTAGCCAGGTCCACAAAGATGGGGCTCAGTGCAGGAGCTGTTGAGGGCTGAAGAGAAGGAGTGACAGCAGCCAGCCCCGGACCCTCACTTCAGGTCCAAAGAAGGAAGAGACCAGTCAGGCTGAGCCTGGTTCCCTGAGGTCACTCACCAAGCCTGAGGCTGTTTCTGATTTACTCCTACTCTGGCCAGAGAGATGTGGTTTATTGGGGGTGCTTGGATAATACTCCACTCCTGACACCTCAAGATTACAGAAGGGCTTCCCTTTTCCCAATGGAAGTTTGTCTCCTCCTATATCCTGCTGGACCTTAAGGTTACCATAACAGGACACTTACTTGGAAGGTAATTTTTGTTTGTTTGTTTTTGTTTTTTCTGAGACAGGGTCTCACTCTGTAGCCCAGGCTTGCCTGGAACTCACAATGATGCTCCTGTTTCAGCTTCTGGAGTGCTGGGATTATGGGCATGTGCCACTACTCCTGGCTTTTTATTGGTTTATTTTTGTGGGGTCAAGGTGGACAGGGGCCTGGGGTGTCAACAAGATGCCTGCTCCCCAAACTAGTTCCACTGCTGAGAAGAAGGCCAGCAGCCTTTGCCCTGACCTCTCACCCAGAATCAGTTTTACTTCCAGCCAGAGAATTATGGGATGTGGGTGCTGGGGGGAAACTGAGACTGGGCAAGGGGAAGGCCCAGTGAGTGGATCCAGCAGCATACAGCCTGCCAAGCATGGGGCTGGGCCAGCCCTCTGGCACTGCCCCCTGCAGACACAGCACCCACCCACACCCAATGCAGCCTGTTCTGTTTTCTGCTTGGTTCTGAGTGGTGCACAGCCCTCCCCTGATCTGAGGCAAAATCTACCTCTCTGTGACTTCCCTGTTTGACCAAAGCCCTGCCTGGAGACCCATAGATCACCGCTGCTCCTGTCTTGTGACAGGTGGCAGAAACAGGCCGTCCACAGGTCCCACATCCTCTTTATCTGCCAAGCCTTTGGGTGTGACACCAATGACACTGATGTGTGTGTTTCTATCTCCTATGCCTCGGGAGCCCATTGTACAGGTGGGAACAGCTGTGGCCCAGAGGGGCTGGTCTGGAGTCACACTGCCAGCGAGTGACAATGATGAGGTTAGCGCATTTCTGAAGTTTCCTGATTTGCAGCCCTGAGCTGAGATCACCCTTCCCATCTCTGAGTCATAGAAGGAACTTGGGGTGGGCAGCAGCAAGACCTTGGTGATGTCCAGATGTCCCTGTTTTGTGCCCATCCCAGCCAGCCCAGTTTCCAATGGGCAGGGCCCATGCTCTCTTCTCCCCCTCCTCTTCTTCCTCTTCCTCACCAGCCCCCTGATAGCGCTCCTGGACAGGCCCCTCCCCTGCCCACACCCCGGAGCACTCACACGTGGGTGCCAGGCCTGTCCTCCCTGGTCAGCACCCCCTCCTTCTCCATCAGCATCTGCCGGAAGGTCCCAACCTTCTGCTGAATCTCCTCCTCTGAGTACCTATGGGGTGCAGGCAGTGAGAAGGCTGCTCTCCTGGGTTCAGATCTCTCCTACCTGCCCTGGTGGAGCTCAGCCCAGCCCAGCCCAGCCCCTCAGCCTGAGGTCATAAGCACAGACTCCAGATTGCTATGACCCACCCGAGGTCACAGCACCCCACCAGGCCCTTGGCACTGAGGAAGTTCAAGGGCTGTCCATTTCACAGCAGACCAGTCAGCCAACCCACCCACCAACCCACCCACCCACCAACTCACCAATCCAACAACCAATCTACCCACCAGACAGAAGGAAGAGTGGAGCAAGTGTGATTCCAGGCTTTTCCCAGCACTGTAGTCTCAGCTACTTGGGAGGCTGATGCAAGTTGATCCCTCTGAGCCCAGGAGTTGGGAAGAGATAACCCAGGTATGGCCAAGCCCCTCCTCCTTGCTAGCATCAGCCCTATGCTGGCTCTCCCACATCTGAGCTGCTGTTCTGGATCTCAACCTCTGCTTCTGTCTCTCTCTGTTTCTGTTTCTGGGTCTGTCTGTCCATCCGTCTCTCTCTCTGTCTCTCTCCCTCTCTCTCTCTCCAGTACTGGGGATCAAACCCAAGGCCTTTGCACTGAGCTACATCCCCAGCCCCTTTTTATTTTTACTTTGAGATAATCTCTTGCAAAGTCACTAAATGCGACTTGTGCTCCTCCTGCTTCAGCCTCCCAAAGTGCTAGGATTACAGGCCTGGATCAATCTGCCCAGCTCCAGATGTCTCGAGACTTTTTTTGGGAGAGGAGAGAGAGAATCCTGGCTTTGACGCAGAAGTGGTCTTTTCTGGTTTCCTGCCTCGCTGATGTCTGACCCTCACAGCCGCCTCTTGAGGCCCTTGGAGCATCAGCACCTTGGAGTTCAGCACTGCCAAGTGGCTTTGCCCTCTGCTGCTGACTCGGGGAGCAGGCGCGTGAAGTCTGTGAGCTCTCTACCTCTCTGTTGTTCTTCGGTCCCTGTTCCTAGTCTTGGGGAGGGGCACAGAGTCGTCTACACCTCATCTCTGCCACCATGCTGTGGAGCCAGTCATCCTGTCTCACTGTGCCACTGTGACAGCTACTATCCTGGTTTCCCTGCCCCTTCAGTGTCACCCCCTCTGTCCTGTCCCTAAGGACCTTCACACACACAGCCCTTTCCCCTGTGCTTGACACACACATGTGTCCAGTAGCTGTTGCTGAATGACCCCCCTGGGCTGCAGATCACTGTCCTGGACAGAAGACATGATGCCAGAATAGGGACAATGGGGGTGTCCCATCTTGTCTCTGCCATTGCTCACCCTCCACAGCATGTCCAGCCCTTTCTTCTAAGTCTATCCACAAAAATGGTATATTGTTTTTTGGTGGGTGGGATGTCATCTCTTTTCTCCCTTTTTCTTTCTTTTCCTCTACTCCTTTGACAAACATTTACAGGAGAGCAATTCAGCATTTTTGTTTTGAGACAGGGACTCACTACATACTTGAGGGTGGCCTGGAACTCACTATGTAGCCCAGGGTGGCCTCGAACTCACAGCGATCCTCCTGCCTCAGCCTTTCAAGTGCTGGGATCACAGGTATGCACCACCACGCCTAGTGGCAATTCTTTTCAAAAGCCTTAAAACACATCCTTTGGCTCATAACTTCCAGATTTATCCTGTGGAAATAATCATGGTGAAGGCACAAAGACTTATTGGATGTTGACAGCAAGATGGATACCTCTGACCAGGTCTGGTGCCAGCATTTGTGTTTCCATAGCAACCTATACCTCCTGGATCCTGGCAGGTGGTTCATGCTCTAGTAATTATCTGTGGACTTCTCTGTATCCTGCACTGGCCCAGAGTTTCCCAAGGGCAGGAGCTTTCTATTGGGTTCATTGTGGCATCCTCAGTGATTGGCATTCACATTGTGGCATCCAGAAATTTTGGACAAATGACTGGCTGGTGATGGAGAGGCACTGGAGAGTTTGAGGGTTGGGTTTTCATTTTGGAAAGATGGCTCTGGTTGGCGTGTGGCCAGAGAGAGGGACCTGGGAGCAGGGGGCTGGCACTGAGCTATGGTGGGGTTGAGGTAGGAGATGGTGAGCCAGAGCCTGAGTGTGGCCCTGAGAAAAGGGGGAAAGAAATAGACAAAACTTTCCAGGAGGGACAGTGCTGGGGCGTGGGGACCACTTGGCTATGTGAGAGGTTGGATGGGAGCCCCAGCTACTTCCTAGCCTAGTGTCCCTGGTTCCTGCTTCTCTGCAGGTTCAGCCTCCTGCCCAGCCAGTGCCACCTTCTCCTGGGGACACTAGCTTGTCACTGTCACCTGCACAGGGACACACATGGTACAGGCCCTGTCAGCCCCCAGCCCTGGCTCCTAGGAGCCTGTGAGGGAGATCGGCCATTGGGTCACCTGGAAGAGGCCCTGGCTCAGGAGGGGCTGGGATGGAGACGGCCCAAGAGCGAGGCTGGGCCAGTACCCAGCAGCTTGGGAGGGGCCTCCGGCCAGGGTCTGGGCTGAGTGTGGGTGTCCATGGAGAGTGGGGGTGGCGGGGGGAGCAAAGCCCAAGGATTCCAACTTTGAGCCCAGCCTTGGCAATTTAGCCAGAACCTGTCTCAGAATTTAAAATGGCCAGAAGATATAGCTCAGTGAGGAGTCCCTGGTTCAATCCCTGTACTGGGGGAAAAAAACCGCTGGAGCAGCAGTATGCCATGGGCAAGGACTGGTCCCAGAGTGAGCAGGTCTCAGGGAAGTTGTGCATCTCAGGCACCTGCCTATTGAGGGTGAGGGTGTTGGATGACCAGAGGTTGGGAGGCCACCTCTGCTCCCAGGTACCTCCTTTTCCTTTCTTTTCTCTCTCTCTCTCTCTCTTCCTTCCTTCTCTCTCTCCCTTCTTTCCTTCCTTTCTCTGTGGTTCTGGGGATTGAACCCAGGTCCTTTGCCCTGAGCTACATCCCTAGCTCTTTCAAAAAATTATTATTATTATTATTATTATTATTATTAATCTGAGACAGGGTCTTGCCAAGTTGCCAAGTTGTCCAGGCTGGGGAAGTGAGACTTTCAAAATGAAAAATAAAGAGGCTGGGGTTGTAGCTCAGGACAAAGGCCCTGAGTTCAACCCCTAGTAACACCCCTCCCCCCAAAAAGGCTCAGGCTCCAAGTCAAGAGCCTGCCAGGCTGTGGGGTGGGGGAAGGAATAGGGAAGGTCATGGTATCTGTTTCAGTGCCCAGACTCCCGGCTCCAGTGTTCCCCAGATGCTCAGTCCCCATTCCACAGGAAGGAAAGGATTGCTAATTCATTTTTCCTCAGGGGACTTGGCTCACTCTCTGGGGTGGAGGGGGGCAAAGGGAACACCACATTTTGAAAGGAAGGGAGGGCCAGGGATTTAGCTCAGTGGTTTTGCTGCCTGCTGTGCAAGTGCAAGGACCCAAGTTCGATCCCCAGTACCAAAAAATAAAAATAAAATAAATAAAATAGAATAAAAGGAAAGGAAATGTTCCATCTTGTCTGTCTGCCTGGACCCAAGTGCTTTCTAGGTAATCTCCTAAGACAGTGATGGTGAACCTTTTAGAGCTGTCAATGATACAAACAGCCCCATGTGCCGTAGGTTCGGCACCCCTGTCCTAGGGGGGATGGTGGCCTTACTCCCATCTTACAGAGGAGCAACAGGGAAAGGGGAGGCTCCAGGCTCCAAGCCTGGCTAGGAGCAGAGCTCTGCCCTGTGCCCCGGCCCTATGGGGTGACAGCCGCCTGCTTGTAGAAGGCTGCCTGGGAAGGTGACTTCAAGTGCAGCATCAATCACCAATGAATTAGTCGGTGATCCATCAATATTAAGGAAAAGGATTGCTTTTTAATGGGACCAAAGAGTATGTGTTGCTGTGACTTGTGGGGATATTTGTCAAATGCCTGAGAACCTGGAAAATAAATGTGAACCAATCAGTGTTTCTAGGAATGGATATTAATGACTAGAGTTTGTAAAAGAGCAAGGGTTCCTGGTGTTTATTGAGCATTTTGTGGGGACTGGCCTGTTTGTGACTTGGTCCTTCAGAACCACCCTGGAGGGCAGGTGTCCCAATCGTGCAGGTGAGGAAACTGGTTTGACCAAGGTCAAATTACAGCCATGAGCCTGGATCATAGTGTTGATGAGTGGCTGCTGCTAAGGGCTGGGGAAGGTGTGTGTGGGGTAACCCCAATGCTAGCTTTTAGGGGAGACTCCAGGCTAGGGATCAGCTGGACAAGGGGCTTGGGTAGGGGAAGAACATGGGGAGATCTAGTGGATGATTCCCAGACAGGCAGGGTCCTTGGTGCTGGGAGTCTAACACCAAGGAGGGGACCCCACACCACTGCTTTCTGCTCTGGCCCAGTGAGGGAGGGGTCCTGGGGGTTCAGTGAAAGGATGGGGTGGGCAGTAAAGCACAGAGGCTGGTCCTTGCCCATCCCTGTCTATTCTCTCGTTTCCTGCCCACGCCCACCTGCCACTCTCCCCCCTCCAGGATCCCCCCCCCCCCCCCCCGCCAAACTCAGTATGGATCTTCTTCCATGAAGATCCTGGAGTTCTCTCTGCTCTCCTCCCCTCCTCAGCTCTGTCCCTGGGACCTCATTTCCTCCTCCAAAACCCACAGCTCATCAAACGCTTTTACTGCCAGCTGGAAGCCTCCCTTCTGTTTGTCCTCAGCATCCAGCCACAGCCCTCCCTCTCTGCAGGGAGCCTTATCACCTCTACTTGGTCCCTGGGTCCCTTTCTTCTCCCTGTAGGTGGCTCTGCTTTCGGCCCAAGCTAGGCCCTGGCCCCACTTTCCTTATGACCTCCAGCAAGTGGCTGTCTCTGAGCCTCAGTGTTTTTCTGAGCTCTATAGAGACACTGGCCCATATCTTGGGTAGCCCAGGAGGCCTGGTGACAGACACAGAGGTGAACCGAAAAGATTCTGCTGTGCTCAGTCTGTCTGGCCTCTCTGGGGCTTCAAACCCCATCCCAGGCAAAGGCTGCTTCCGGGCAGGTCCTGCTCTCCACTTTGACCCCCACAGCAGCTGACCCACTCATTCCAGGACACTCGGGGCACTCACTCCTCTGGAGTGGCACAAATGGGGATGGCTTTGTGCTCTGCTTCTTTGTCTCGACTCCATGAGTGAGGGATGTGGGAGTGGTGAGGTCCCTAAACCTTTCCTGACTGACGCATGAATTGAGTCGTTGAGATGCCCCAGGCCTCTGCTCCTCACGGGAGGAACTCCTACTCATCCTCAGCCTATGCAAATGTTCTCTCTGGCAGCCTTCCTCCCATCTCCAAATCTCTCCTCTGAGCTCCTGAAGCACTCTCCTGCCCTGTCCTTCAGCCTTGATTCTAATAGGTTTTGTGGCAGATGTTAACATACTTTTGCAGTTCTGAGTCGGTGTGTGTGTGTGTGTGGGGTCTTTGAGGACAGGAAGTGACTGCAGCTGGGCTTTGAGCTCAGCGGGTGACTCCTTTGGTTACAGTCAGCCCTGGGATATAGTGAGGGCCCCTTGTGTGCTCTCACATGGTGGTAGCACTTGCATGGCAGCTCCATTCACCCATTTTATAGACGGGGAAACTGAGGCCTTGGGTTGTCATTGATGTTTTCACATCTCTTCTCTCCATGGATCTGGTTGTTTCTGAAGGATGGGGTCTGTGTTTCCTTAGCATCTGAGAATCAGAGCCTGGGAGCTTAACAGAGAGCAGGGGTTCAAAGATTGCTTGTTGAATAAAGGTTGAATGAACCAATGAATGAATGAATGAATGAATGAAAGGTGGGCTGGGCTTGCACTGGTTCCGTCCAGCTGGCCCAGACCCCGCCCCTTGCCTGGACCAGGCTCCTGGGGCTCCTTTTTCACCAGACTGCTCAAGCCACCCCCCACCCCCGCCAGAGGGCGGACCACGCCCACAGACACGCCCACCAGGCACTACCGCCACCCCCCCTCGCTCACCCCTGCTCCTCCATCATCTCCTGCAGCTCCATGCACTTGAGCTCCACGCGCCGCTTGCGCTCGTGGTCCAGGATCTCGCGGTGCGCGCGCTTGACCAGGCCCGGCTCTGCGGCGCGCAGCTCCTCCTCCGCCCGTGGCCAGGCCCCAGACGAGGCGCCGGGCTGCGGGAAGCCGTTGGCGGCGATGGGCGGGGACGGCATGCTGGCAGCCCCGTTGTTCACGTTGGAGGACATGGCAATGGCCCCAGCCGCTGGCCCTGCGGGGCAGACACAGAGCAGAGGCAGAGGTCACTTTCTGGCCACCCGCTGAGCGCGAGCTAATCCTGGAGCTCCAATCCTCTCAGGCAGAGGTTGGGGGGCAGGCCTCGGGTCTGAACCTCGGGTCACACCTCAGCCCAGGAAGCAGTGTGGCTCGGGCTCCCCAGCCCACCAAGACCCGCCTGAGATCTTTGCTGGGTTTATTTCCATGCTTTTACTTCAGGCACGCACCCCAGGCCCACTGTCCTGGTTCTGTTCCAGTGGGGTCGCAGACGACAGGTGTTTGTGCCTTCCTGTCTGCACCCAGGGCAGCCCGGTAAAGCTAGGAAGTTGGGGTTATCTCCAAGTTCCACTTCCTCCTGGATGCCGTTTTCAGTTCCCACTGCGATCTAACTTCTCCAAAGCCAGCCTTCCAAGGGGGAGTCTTATCTGGATTGAGGCCCAGAGAACTGTCCCCTCCTTTGTTCTGGAAACACTGCTTCTAATGATGTGCCCAAGGGTGAGACTGCGTTAACTCTCTAGGCAGCCACATCCTCCCGTAGGCTTGGGGTGGGGTCGAGTTAGAAAGCCCTGGCTCTATGTTAGGTCCAAAGTAGAGCAGTAGAGCAAGTACCACACATACACACACACACACACACACACACACACACACACACTGCACATGCACCCGCAACAAGGGCCTCTATCTTAGCAGAGGGGAGGCACCTCCTGAGCTATTTATTTCCTTTTCCCTTCTCCAAGTCTGCTAGTTGCTAAGCAACAGGGAGGCCTCATTCCCAGGGAGTGGGATGGGAGGGAGGGAAGGGGAGGAAGTAGAGAGGGAAGAGATTGGGCTGCCTGGATGGGGTCTTCCCAGCAACACTTCCCCAACACCCCCCAAAACACTCCCCTTGCTGGCCTCAGAGCACTGGGGTAGGGGGCGTTCATAGCCACAGGAGCTGAAAGGCAGAGAGGACAGTGAGACCATTAGAGAGGCACTGAAGGGGACAGAGCGACAGTGTAATGGAGACATAAGTTCCTCTCAGCTGCTCCCTCCGTGTTCTAGGCCAGGCTCCTCCACTATTTGATGTGTGATCCTTAGGATGTCACTGCCCCTCTCTGATCCCTGCCCTTGCCTGAGTGCATCATCCAGACTCCTCAGGAGAGGGGGACTCTTGGGGGCTGGGAGACCAAGGCTGTTCCTCTAACCTACTCTTCACTCCAAGCCCCAGCAGCTTCCTGCTCTGTCCCTGAACTCCACTTCCAACAGGGCTTCTCCTGGGATACCCCACAAGCATTACCCACTTGCCCCAAACTAAGCTCTGGGAACCTGGCTCCCCTTGCACCTTGGCCCCAGTGCCTGGCTGTTAGAGACCTCTCCACGTGGTGGTCCCCTGAGCCAGGGACAGGCTTGCAGCTTGGAGACGCTTGCCTCTGTCCTCTGCCTCAGTGTCCCCCTGGGCTCGCTGCTCTCAGATCGCTGTCCTTCATCAGCAACCTGGCAGATCAGCCCAGGTGCACACCAGACTGTTGGGCCCTGAATCTGCTCCAGGACTTCCTGTCACCTTGGCTTAACGTTGGGACATGGTGTGGCCTCCTGGGGCAGCCCCATCCTGCAGCAGTCCTCTGACTCTCTTGGGCCAGGCCTGTCTGCTGCCAGCTCTCCCAGGATGCTCTTCACCTAGCTCCAGCTGTCCTCATAGTCACTGCTCAAAGGCACCATTACCTTCCAGAAGCCCCCTCAGCCTCTGCTGGGTGCCCCCATCTTCCCAGCTCTTGCCACTTCTGCCAGCACTGCAAGTTCACAGTCTGGCTCCCCCTGGGCCAAGGGAAGTTTAGATTTCAACTCTAGTGCCAGCCAAGTGCCCAACGTGCATGGAGATCAATGCACCGGAACGGAACCAATCAGAGAAGTACAAAGGGAGGCGGGTGGAGGGACACAGGGCCAAGTCAATGCCACCCCAGGGCCCCTTCGATGTCTGCCTTCTGCCTTCTCTAAACTTTACCCCCCACCGTTTTTCCTCTCCAGAGCTGGGGGTGGAACCCAGGGTCTCATGCATGCTAGGCAAGCAAGCGCTTGCCATGAGCGGCCCCCCAACCCCGACTTCAAGCCCTGTTATGCCCCATCCTGAGGCAACCGCCAGCCCTGCCCCATCATCTTTCCCAACACGTTCTCACTCCTCCTTTGTGCCTTTGCCCACATGGTTCCCCTTGGCTGGCATTTCTTTCTTTCTCCTCTTCTCCAATGAAGGAGCTTCAGAATCCTTCAGGGCTCAGCCCAATGATATCTCCTCTGGGAAGTCGTCCGCTCTTCCAGGAAGTTTGATTCCTTTCCTTCTCGTGTTCCCATCGCTTTTTGTTTTTCCTTCAGTAGTGGGGAATGAACCCAGAGCATTTTCGATCAGCTACATCCCCAGGACTTTTTCTTATTTTGAGATGGGGTCTTGCTGAGTTACTAAGCTGGCCAGACTGGGCTTCAACTTGAAATCCTCCTGCCTCAGCCTCCCAGAGTACTGGGAGTGCCACTATGCCTGGCTTCTCACAGCTTTTTTTGCCCACATCTCTGATATGACATTTAGATCCCTAGATTCAGTTTATATGCATCTGACTCTGGTTCCTGACTGTGAGTCCTTTAAGAGGAGGGGCTTAGCCATGGCTTATTCCAGTCCCTCTAAACTAGCACCAGCAATGCAGCCTAAGATCAGATTTGGTGAGGACACAGTCTGGGAGTGCTCATAGATTTACAGCCAGAATCTAAAAGGACTCAACAGATGGAAAAAATGGAAAGAATCTAAGAAGGTGAGAAAGGGTAGTGAGAACGGCACATGCTGGAGCTGGGTCCCCACGTAACTTTCTAAAATTGGGGTGGAGTAGACATAGTGTAGAAGTCATATATTTAGGAAGGATTTAGAGATTTTCAATGATCACAGACTCAATTTGAGTCAATATCACAAGGTGGCTGCCAGAAAAGCATATTATCTTCAGCTCCATCAGCAAAACTACCATGCCCAGAGGGGGAGATTATAAGAATATACAGGTGGGGCCGGGGATTTAGCTCAGTGGTTTCTCAGCCTGCTGCACAAGTGCAAGGACTGGAGTTCAATCCCCGGTACCAAAAAAAAAAAAAAAATAGAATATACAGATGGTCAGAATCCCAATCTACAAAGATTTGAAGGATGATAGAGGATTTAGGTCAAGCCTGGTTGAAATATTTTTTTTCCTCTACTGGAGATTGAACTCAGGATCTTTACACTGGATTACATCCAAAGACTTTAAAAATTTTTTCTTTTTAATATCCCACCCCCCCCAGTACCGGGGATTGAACTCAGGACCTTGCGCTTACAAGGCGGGTGCAGTGCTGCTGAACTAAGTCCCGGCCCCTTTTTAAATTTTTGAGACAGGGGTTTTGCTCAGTCAATAAGTTACCCAGACTGGGCTCCAGCTTGTGACCCTTCCTCTTCTTCACCCCAGAGTGCTGGGATTGTGAGCATGTGCCATTGCGCCTGACTACCTGGCTGAAACTTCCACTGCAAAGTTTGTTAGAAGGAGAGATCTCTAGCTAGGGTCGCCAGATTTGACAAATAACAAGACAGAATGCCTAATTAAATTAAATTTGAATTTCATGAATATCCTATTTGGGGCATACTTCTAAAAATTATTCATTGTTTATCTGAAATTCAAATTTAATTGGGTGTCCTATATTTTATATGTCAATCAATCTATGGTGCACCCTAGATCTCCTGAATCAAGATCTCTAGGAGTGAGGTTCTTAGGGTTCTGCAGTTGATCCTGAGGCAGGCTGCGGATGTAGTTCCGGCTGGCCTTGTGCTCACTGTGCAGCCCCGGCTGGCCTCGAACTCACAGCACTCCTCTCACCTCAGCCTCACGAGTGCCGCACCATCATGCCTGGCTGACAATTTGCATTTCTAAGTCCTCAAATCATACCAGTGTTGCTGGTCCTTCGACCACACTGAGAGAAGCGTAGCCCTAGCCGACCTGGCTGGCTCTAGCAGACAAAGTTGGGACTCTCGAGGTGATGTTATCTGGTGTGGACTTCAGCTCAGTCCAAGAAAGGATTGTTTAGCTTAATAACAGTCAAAACTCTTTGAAACCAAGCAGTTCATCCCGGGATAATGAGAGGCTGGATTCATTAAGAGGGATTTTCAGTGACATTATGTAACTCAGATAGACGCTGTGTCACTCAGTCACTCAACAAACACCCAGCATTTATTCTGGGCTCCAGCCTATTAAAGGCTGGGGATTTGGAGACAAACAAGATGCCACCTTGGCCCTCTGGAAATAGCAGTGTAGTGTGGTTGAAGAAAACTTGAGAGGCCTCTGTAGCCCAGCCTGGTTGGTGGGGGCAGAAGACAAGGATATGAGAGCAGGTGAGGCCTGAACTGAGATTCCAGAAATAAATAGGCCAATTTGGCAGACCCGTGATTGACAGGTTGTGAGGGAAGAGAGGCATCCTTTTGTGTGTGTGTGCGCGTGCGCGGTACTTGGGATTGAACCCAGGGCCTTCACCTTGATCTACATCCCGAGCCCTTTCTTTAATTTGAGACAGGGTCTCACAAAGTTGCTAAGTTGCCCAGACTGGAGATCCTCTTGCCTCAGCCCCCTAGAGCACTCCAGCTTCAGTGGAGGTCAAGCTGGCAGATAAGGAGCCTGGAGCCATGACCCCAAGCCTAACCCTAACTGGTTCTGACCCTTGGGGACATCAGCACTGGCTCTCTTTGGGGCAGCGATGGGAAGTTTTCCCTCTCCTACTGATTGGCTGTGAGCTGAGTCCCCTCTCTGGACCTGTTTCCCTGCTGGATTCGAAGACCCCACAGACCTTTCCCCACTCTGAAAATCTGGGTAACACTAACTCCCTCTGCACTCCATGAGTCCTTCATCCCACCTCCTTCCTGATGAGGTAGCCAGCAGCCACCGCTGGGGCACAGCTGAGGTTGTCCCCAATGCGAGGTCAGGTCCCAGAGTGAGCCCAGATGAAGTCTCAGAGCTCTAATCTAAAGCA